TTAATTTTGGACATACAATACCAATTTCCACCAGCAGGGGTGAAAATAGAGCAGTAGTGGTAAAATTAAAGGTTGTGAAAGTTGTGCCCTGTCCTCCTCTACTGAATGACACTAGTTTGATGTCTCTGTGTCACTTCTGGACAAAGCTATTACAAAAAGAATGTTAATTTTGGACATGCAACACCCATATCCGCCAGTAGGGGTGAAAATAGATCAGTTGGGGTAAAAATAGAGGTTGTGAAAGTTGTGCCCTGTCCTCCTCTACTGAATGACACTGGTTTGATGTCTCTGTCTCACTTCTGGACAAAGCTATGACAAAAAGAATGTTAATTTTGGACATACAATACCAATTTCCACCAGCAGGGGTGAAAATAGAGCAGTAGTGGTAAAATTAAAGGTTGTGAAAGTTGTGACCTGTCCTCCTCTACTGAATGACACTAGTTTGATGTCTCTGTGTCACTTCTGGACAAAACTATTACAAAAAGAACGTTAATTTTGGACATACAATACCAATTTCAGCCAGCAGGGGTGAAAATAGAGCAGTAGTGGTAAAATTAAAGGTTGTGAAAGTTGTGTCCTGTCCTCCTCTACTGAATGACACTAGTTTGATGTCTCTGTGTCACTTCTGGACAAAGCTATTACAAAAAGAACGTTAATTTTGGACATACAATACCAATTTCCACCAGCAGGGGTGAAAATAGAGCAGTAGTGGTAAAATTAAAGGTTGTGAAAGTTGTGCCCTGTCCTCCTCTACTGAATGACACTAGTTTGATGTCTCTGTTGCACCGCTGGACAAAGCTATTACAAAACGAATGCTAATTTTGGACATACAATACCAATTTCCACCAGCAGGGGTAAAAATAGAGCAGTAGTGGTAAAATTAAAGGTTGTGAAAGTTGTCTCCTGTCCTCCTCTACTGAATGACACTGGTTTGATGTCTCTGTGTCACTTCTGGACAAAGCTATTACAAAAAGAATGTTAATTTTGGACATGCAATACCCATATCCGCCAGTAGGGGTGAAAATAGATCAGTAGGGGTAAAAATAGAGGTTGTGAAAGTTGTGCCCTGTCCTCCTCTACTGAATGACACTGGTTTGATGTCTCTGTCTCACTTCTGGACAAAGCTATGACAAAAAGAATGTTAATTTTGGACATACAATACCAATTTCCACCAGCAGGGGTGAAAATAGAGCAGTAGGGGTAAAAATAGAGGTTGTGAAAGTTGTGCCCTGTCCTCCTCTACTGAATGACACTGGTTTGATGTCTCTGTCTCACTGCTGGACAAAGGTATGACAAAAAGAATGTTAATTTTAGACATGCAATACCAATTTCAGCCAGCAGGGGTGAAAATAGAGCAGTAGTGGTAAAATTAAAGGTTGTGAAAGTTGTGTCCTGTCCTCCTCTACTGAATGACACTAGTTTGATGTCTCGGTCTCACCGCTGGACAAAGCTATTACAAAAAGAACGTTAATTTTGGACATACAATACCAATTCCACCAGCAGGGGTGAAAATAGAGCAGTAGTGGTAAAATTAAAGGTTGTGAAAGTTGTCTCCTGTCCTCCTCTACTGAATGACACTGGTTTGATGTCTCTGTGTCACTTCTGGACAAAGCTATTACAAAATGAATGTTAATTTTGGACATGCAATACCCATATCCGCCAGTAGGGGTGAAAATAGAGCAGTAGTGGTAAAATTAAAGGTTGTGAAAGTTGTCTCCTGTCCTCCTCTACTGAATGACACTGGTTTGATGTCTCTGTCTCACTTCTGGACAAAACTATGACAAAAAGAATATTCATTTTTGACATGCAAAACCCATTTCCGCCAGTAGGGGTGAAAATAGAGCAGTAGGGGTAAAAATAGAGGTTGTGAAAGTTGTGCCCTGTCCTCCTCTACTGAATGACACTGGTTTGATGTCTCTGTCTCACTGGTGGACAAAGGTATGACAAAAAAGAATGTTAATTTTGGACATGCAATACCGATTGCAGCCAGTAGGGGTGAAAATAGAGCAGTAGAGGTAAAATTAGAGGTTGTGAAAGTTGTGTCCTGTCCTCCTCTACTGAATGACACTGGTTTGATTTCTCTGTGTCACTGCTGGACAAAGCTATTACAAAAAGAATGTCAATTTTGGACATGCAATACCGATTTCTCCCCAGTAGGGGTAAAAAATAGAGCAGTTGGGGTAAAAGTAGAGGTTGTGAAAGTTGTCCCCTGTCCTCCTCTACTAAATGACACTGGTTTGATGTCTTTGTCTCACTGCTGGACAAAGCTATTACAAAAAGAACGTTATTTTTGAATATGCAATACCGATTTCCGCCAGTAGGGGTGAAAATAGAGCAGTAGAGGTAAAGTTAGAGGTTGTGAAAGTTGTGTCCTGTCCTCCTCTACTGAATGACACTAGTTTGATGTCTCGGTCTCACCGCTGGACAAAGCTATTACAAGAAGAACGTTAATTTTGGACATACAATACCAATTTCCACCAGCAGGGGTGAAAATAGAGCAGTAGTGGTAAAATTAAAGGTTGTGAAAGTTGTGCCCTGTCCTCCTCTACTGAATGACACTAGTTTGATGTCTCTGTCGCACCGCTGGACAAAGCTATTACAAAAAGAATGCTAATTTTGGACATACAATACCAATTTCCACCAGTAGGGGTAAAAATAGAGCAGTAGTGGTAAAATTAAAGGTTGTGAAAGTAGTCTCCTGTCCTCCTCCACTGAATGACACTGGTTTGATGTCTCTGTGTCACTTCTGTACAAAGCTATTACAAAATGAATGTTAATTTTGGACATGCAATACCCATATCCGCCAGTAGGGGTGAAAATAGAGCAGTAGTGGTAAAATTAAAGGTTGTGAAAGTTGTCTCCTGTCCTCCTCTACTGAATGACACTGGTTTGATGTCTCTGTCTCACTTCTGGACAAAACTATGACAAAAAGAATATTCATTTTGGACATGCAATACCCATTTCCGCCAGTAGGGGTGAAAATAGAGCAGTAGAGGTAAAATTAGAGGTTGTGAAAGTTGTGTCCTGTCCTCCTCTACTGAATGACACTGGTTTGATTTCTCTGTGTCACTGCTGGACAAAGCTATTACAAAAAGAATGTCAATTTTGGACATGCAATACCGATTTCTCCCCAGTAGGGGTGAAAATAGAACAGTAGGCATAAAAATAGAGGTTGTGAAAGTTGTCTCCTGTCCTCCTCTACTGAATGACACTGGTTTGATTTCTCTGTGTCACTTCTGGACAAAGCTATTACAAAATGAATGTTAATTTTGGACATGCAATACCCATATCCGCCAGTAGGGGTGAAAATAGAGCAGTAGTGGTAAAATTAAAAGTTGTGAAAGTTGTCTCCTGTCCTCCTCTACTGAATGACACTGGTTTGATGTCTCTGTCTCACTGCTGGACAAAGCTATTACAAAAAGAACGTTAATTTTAAACATGCAATACCGATTTCAGCCAGTAGGGGTAAATGAGGGGTTGTTAAAGATGCCCATTTGAGTCCCCCTATCGAACTGCACTGGTCTCATGTCAATAAGCCCTTTAAAATTAAAATGCCATTACAAACACACACACAAAAAAGTGCACTTTCCCCACGGTCCCTTACTTGCATGTCCATCTAGAGCGAGCTTTCCCGGCGAAACTCACATTGCGGCGGCTTTTGAAGGGCAGTGCTTATTATATATAGCGAAAATACGGAAAATTAAGCTTGTGAAACATTGCTAGCGTTGCCTTTTTAGCTGCCATAGTGTTTAAATATTTTTTGGCCAAGTCGTTTAGGAGGTATTGCCATTTTTCAGCGAATGTCCGGGGAATATCGAAAACAAAACTAACTTTACCCCGGTGAAAAACCGCGCATTGTGTCAAGTTATGCACTGTCTTTGAGGTCTTAGGGCACAGCGCGGGTGAATTCAATGTTTGAGGAAGGTGTGCGTCAGTCACCGAACCGGTGTGGATGGCATTCGGAATCACAGATTATCCTTTTTGAAAGTATGACCACTATAATAATTTTCACCGGAAATGTTCTGGTTCTGACCAACTGGGTAAAAAAATTACAGTAAATCGTGCTAATTAAATCTAAAATGCTCGAATTTCCAACAGAACTCCACCAGTAGCCTAACGTTACCACTGAAATTAAAAACATGATTGCACGCTTACCGGTTTGAATCTATGGTTTGAATCGAGCTAAGGCAAGCAGATGCATTTGCTCAATTTTATTTTGGATAATTTTTAACCCAAAAAGTTGAAGGACTGCAGCTTTAAATGACGTTAAGTGATCTAATAAAAATAGCACCAACTTGACATGCCATTTATTGATTTAGACAAACTATTTATTGCATTGATTGCTCCAGGATTATGATCTGTTTTGAATGTCAACGTTATTGCATTTATATGCAGTGTAAAACCTTAGATCTGATAAACTTACAGTAGCTTGCTGACGGCTCAAATGAACCAAAGCCGCAGACGCCTCGTGGACTTCACTTCCATCGAACACACCGCACCCTGCCAACACAACAGCAACGCGCTTTCCCATGTTTTTAAACGAAAAGTGGCTAGTGCGGTCGCGGTGAACTTGAAAGGTTACGAATTTCCGGCTGGGGTTCGTGAATGAAGAGTACTGCTGCTTTTCAATGCGTTCTTTTGAATCGAATCTTTTCAATGAATCGGTTGAACAGTATGGAGTCCATTCGTTCTGAGTAAACAACTCACTGAGCTGAACAGAGTTGCTGTTGAACTAGGCATCGGGAACCTTTATTTTGAAATTACTCTTATTCTAAAAAACAAAATAAATAAATAAATAAAAATAGTCGTTTCCGTTTCTGGTCATCTCAAATGACATACATGCATGAAATATAGCATAGTTAGTTGTGATATATTTATCCATTAACATATCGTGGGTGTTTGAGTAAATAACTTTACATTCCTTGACGCGATTACGTTCATTATATAGTCCACTTACTGAGTGCTGCTGTACTGGTCACGATTAATTTACCATAGCTAGCTAATAACCTTTCTAGGTAGAGCGCACCTCAACACAAGCCAGTCGTCTGATAATGGCAGGACTGTATCGAGCTCTTCTAACATCTGCCTCCACTGTCACAAAGGTGAGATTAGTTCATAATAGCCTCTTTGAATAAACCATGATAATTTTGATAATTGCAACAACAACAAAAAAAAAATCTTAATATAAACTTTTAAAAAATGTAATTGCAGAATTTGACACAAGCCACATGTCGCACTAAATTCACTAAGAGTCGCATCCCTCCACAGGTACGTGACAGTTCAAAATGTACATTCATAGTTTTATGAGATTCAGTGTATTTAATGTAATAACATCACACCATCTTCTCGTTCTTCAGGTATTTGAGGAACGAGCAAAAGAACATGGCAAGTACGGTGGTGATCCAGAACATCCTCATAAATTACACATAGTGACACGGGTTAAAAGCACAATGAGGCGTCCATATTGGGAAAAGAAGGTTATAAAGAGCTTGGGGTTAATGAAGGTGGGGTGTGGCAAATTTACTTTATGAAATAGTATCAGACTTAACTAAAATATTTTAGTTTAATACATCTTTTTCCCCAGGCGCATGAACCCCGTGTCCACAAGAACACCCCTTCAGTTAACAATCTACTGAAAACCATTAAGCATCTGGTTAGGTATGTTGTGACTTTTGCATTTCATAACATTTTAAAATCAGTTGATTGCTGACCATTATAATAAATTTACCTATTCAAATATTCTTATCTGCAGGATTGAGCCGCTCAAGCTTCCGTATGGACTACCTGCTGAGGAGGACATGGCCAACACATATCTGAACAGCAAAGGGGAGCTGGTAGTTAAACGTCTCCTGCAACCACTTGAGCAGAAGGCCATTGAGTCATAGAATTTATCTAGCCTACCATGTGTTGTGTATTTGCTACTTGTTAAATAAAGGTTTGAATAAATTGATTTTCTCTTTAATTATTACAAAACCATGCATTTGAAACCTTAGCCACTCTGGTGATGTAACCTTAAAATCACTGGTATGTTAGACAGCTTTTTTTCCCCATAAACAAACAACAGGACAGGAATATATATACCATTTTTTTAATGAGTCATGTACTGCTACAAAAGAAAATAGCCTGCACTTCTTTCACATCAATGGGAGAAAGAGGTGACAATTCATAGTGGAATACAGAAGCTTGCTTCCTTGGCACTTGTTTGATGCTCACTAAACTGTGCACCAGTCCATGATTAGAGGCAGAAATATTATTTATTTTTTTATTTTTTTTGCACCATTGTTTAAACGTAAGCTTCCGGTTGTTCCATCTTGCAGAAACTCAATCTTCCTTATTAGTAAGAGCTAAAAAGAGTGAACATTTACTAGTATGATGCTCCATACAAATGTTTCACTTCTAAAACACATGTAAAGGAATATGAATTAAATAGGTGATATTTGGTCATAAAATTATCAAACATAGGACAAAGGTGAGAGACACAAATTAAATAGACACGGCAAGAAAAACAAGTGATCACAAAGAGGTGTTGCAAGACTTAGGACTGTTATGTTGGAAGCCCTGAGAAAGACGGAGCTTGATGTTTTGTTCCTCTAATCCTCATCAGATTCAGAATCCGAGTCATACCCTTTGCCTCTGATGGTCTTTTTCTCCACCTTGGTGAACTTTTTCCCTGACTTCTGCCCCATTGTTGGTGGCTCCAAAATATTCCCACTAGATGGAGAGAGGATACAAATACAAAAGCAGTTTGTAAAATGATATATAAATGATATTATATAAATATACCATTTAAAGCAGTGGATCTCAACCTTTTTGTCTTCAAGGCCCCCTTATTGTCCACAACATTTGACCCTCCACACAATTTTAACCTGATAAAATATTTTAGAGTTTGGCCAAACTTTATATATATAAAAATAACCAAACAGATCATCTTGATTTTTATATTGTTTTAGCTTATTTTGTCTTTTAAACATTTTGAAGTCATCAAAATGGCAAGGCCCCCTGGCCATATCTGCAATCAGCATAATGATTTCTGATATCACTAAAGCATGAATGATACTAAAAATTCATCTTTGCCATCACATTAATACATTACATTTTAAAATATATTTAAATAGAAAAAAGTTGCATATTTTAAAAATATTAAAATAAGAGTATGAAAAATAAAATATGAGAAAATTTATAGAACGGTCAACATTAACACACCTGATTAATTCAAAATTAAAATCCTTAATGCATTAATATTATTAAACACAAATAAATCACTGAAGCATGTGAAATTGCATTATTTACTAAACAATTATATAGTCGGGAGTTTCTCACACTGACCATCAACAATGGGGCAAGCACCTGTAACCCTGGTAAGCGGAAATGTGGACACACACACACAAAAATACAACATACATACCTGTAGTTTATGATACTTGAGCAGCCCAGTCTCCACTCTAGCATTTCAGTTGGAAACTCATCTGTGTTGCCCAGATCGGTGAAGCCCACAATGTAATCCTTAGTCTTCCCATCCTTAACCAGAGCCAGCGTTGGAATGACTTTAATCTTCAGCCTCTCTGTTAGGAATGGAGCCTTCTCAACATTTAGTTTGATGAACTTTGTTTCCAGATGTTTCTTAGCCAAGACAGCTAGGTGCTTGTCCAAAATTTTGCATCTTTGAAAAAAACAAAACAAACCCACTGAAAATAGCTGTACACAAATGATTCATAACACAAGGATGCAAGGAAACCAAAAGAAAACAAATATATCCTCAAATACCTGAATGTAGAGTCTCTGTAGAAATGGCAGACAACATTTTTGCTTTCCTTCACCTCTGCAAAAAAATCTCTCTCACTTGGGATCTCTCTGTATTCACCATGTCCTTTAGATATCCACTCCTGAGGACACACATACCACAGTTTACAAAGTTTAAACACATCAATAGAGGGAATCTGATCTGCTTAAATGCACTAATAAACACCTTGTGTAGATAACTTATTTTGAATAAGCATTTTAATAAACTTAAACTCCAAATTTAGAGTTAAGTTCTTTAAATATGTTTAGAGCACCCGCCTGCTTCTGTTTCTGAGCTTTCTTGAGGGCCTCGAGCCTTCTCTCCTTGAGCCGATCCAGGTCATCTTCATCCATGGTCTGCAGCTGCTGTAGTTCTGCATCCAGCTGCTCTTCCACCACCCGTGCCGACTGCAGCACCTGCTGCTCCAGAGCTTTCGCAACAACCTCCATTGACTGACTGGCCATTTCCTGTTAGACATGCAGCACATACTGGATGCAATTACTTAAATAATTCACTTTAATAACAACGATTAAAGAAAACTATTTTTAACACTGCCAAATAATTTTATCACACATCTAACAAGGTCTCATAACAACGTGGGATTTGTGTCTTTAATGTTATTAAAGTGAATGGTTTTAGGTGTCTGTCGAAGTAAAGCAAGAAGCTGTTTGTGTGAAATGTGTGGCACACGTTAATCAATTGTCGTCGGGGTTTTGATGGGCATTGTGATGTTCGTTCACAACAATAGAGGTGCGGGGAAGTTAGTCGGCCAGCGCTGCTTGACTAACGTTATCGTTACTTCAACTGCATGAAGACAAGAATGCCCGTTTGGCTTACCTTCTCCAGATCCTATGTCATTGTTTCACCGACAATTGCTAATTCTAAAACACAATATGCTCTTGTAAATAATGACTAATAATTTTAAAACGGATTTGTGGGGTTTTGCGTCAAATCGTGCTAATGCTAGCATATTGCTTTGGCTTTCCAACACCGTGGTAACGGAAGCTTTTGATCGCCAACAAAGACTGTAGCGTAACATTAGTTAATCGGCAAGCGACACACTCTCCAGAAAGCAACAACATGATAAGGATAATTTAACTGACATACAATTTAAAATGCAGGGTTTGTAGAAAAAATATGTTACGGAAAAACACTTACCAAGTCTGTATAATTTCTAGAAGGCGACACAGTGACTGACGCAGGGTTTACGTAGAGGCGTCGCCTGATTACGTCATGGGGGACGCAGGCTCCGAGTCTGCAGCTTTCACTAAGATTGAAATATGAAATACCTGACTTTAATTTTAAAACTATAAAATATTTGTCTTTTTCTTTGAGTTACGATCTTGAATTTCTGGTGAACAATATTGTGCTGTTGGCCAATTACTTAATACACAAATGCAGATTCTTTAAGAACCCTCCCACTTTCTTACTCTTCCATAAAGATTAAGATTAATTATTAAGATTATTAAGATTAATCTTATTAATCTTAATAATCTTCTTCAAAGCTTTAAGACTGGTGCATAACAAAAAAGCCCTTAAATCTTCTGAAGGTTTTGTTTGAAGATTCCCCCTTGTGTAATATTTTATTTATTTATTTGTTTACTTATTTACTTATATTTAAAAACTTACATGTTTTTTCTTTTCTTTTTTTCTGTTAGATTTATGGTGTTAATTGTTTTGTGCTGCTATTAGGACTTCTTTGTAATAATTTAAGATTTGTATCTTGAAGGTTGTTGGTATTTTGTATGTTTCTTTGAGCAATAAAAAAAGATTGCATTTCAGAAGAAATATACAATAATAATAATATTAATAATAATAATAATGCATTTTATTTAAAAACGCCTTTCTGGACACTCAAGGCCGCTGTATATATACAATCAAAACATCTATTGTATTGTATTGCTTTTTGTTGTTGTTGTTGTTGTTTTTTTCTATAAAATTCAGTGCAGATGTAGGTCACGTAATTTCATTCATTTGGCAAAAATTTCACGTCATTTATTTTCTGGCTTACACTTACAGACATCTAACATGTTATATTTTGCACCGTTACACAAAATTTTAAAAGTGTGTGCAGGACAACCGAAATAGTAATATAATAAATATGGGAAGTTTAAAATGCTCTAACAGTTTTGAAATTTACATTAGATCAGTCTATTTTTTTCTTTGTAAAATTTGTTTTGAATGTATGTATTTGGTGATATTTGATCAATATCTATTTAAATTTTCCCTCTTTGTTTGCACTATCAGGTTATTGAATATTAATTTATAAATATTGTACATCACTACAAGCTAAAACTTTCCTAAGTGTTATTGAATTACAGATTTCAGAGACAAATGCCTTTTGTCTTTATCCTTTCATTCCAAATCTTACTTCATTAGTTTAAGATGTTTGCTGTTACACTCATTGTTAGATTGTTAGAGACATTGTTTGTGGATCAATGTTAGCTTGATCCACAAATTATAAACACACACACACACACACACACACACACACACACACACACACACACACACACACACACACAAACAAAACAAAAACACAAGACCATATAATTTACCAAATTTATTTGCAAATTTAGAAAACATACAAATGATGTCACAGCTTCTGGTCTTCAGGCACAGGTCATTCTGTCATTACAGATTTTTGACCAAATATGGTTTTTCAGGCCCTCATCTCTGTAATGCCATGATAATGTGAGATAATAACAGATGTACGTCTCATGAGCAGCTTCTTAAAACCAAAAAAGTATAAATTTACATTTGAGGTCAAGTACATTCTGTTCATACATAAATTCAAAACTACAGTGAAAAGGGATTGAGAGGATGCTTCATTAGGAATGTAGACTGAAGTATCCATATTTGACCTATTATTCAGTTTACATCCATCTAATTGAAAAACCCCTCCTTTCCTCCAGCACCATATCCATATATAGAAAACAGGACTAAGAAGCTTGACAGTACAGTTGAAACTCAATTTAGTAAAATTAACCTGGTCAATTTTTTTTTAATCTTTTTCTTCATAAATATTCCTCTCTCTTTTAGCTCTTTCAGACATACGGACAAACATGCATCATGATGAACAATCAATGAGCAGGAGTACCGTAATTTTATATATATATATATAT